AATAGAACTAATACACACTACAATTGGAGAACTTTTAGGGTTTTCAAACAGAAACGAGCATACAATGGTTTCACACACGAAATACTATTACATCATGATTAGCATTAGCTAGTCACATGAAGTAATAATTTCGCATATCACTACAGTTTTCAGTGACAAGCATTCATGGTTTTATACAGAATTGAAAACACTACATTTTCACTAAAGAAAATATCGGATTTTCTTGAAATTATACAAAACACTTTTACTAACTCATCAACGATTTTCACTACAAACCACCGCTTATGAACTCACCAGCTTTATGTTGATACTCTTTCAAACTGCTTGTATTCTCAGGAAATCAGTAGACAGGTACTTGCTGGATTTTCGAGGAACTGGAGCAATAAGAGTTTCATGTTTATACTATACAAAGCTATTGGATGTAATTCAAACTAAGTTTCAGACAAAGTTTCAAACTGATGTAAACATTTTTATTTAAGTATTCACTGTAATGGTTGTGTTGCTATGATTGCTGTTATTCATTGGTTGTGATGCTACACATGACGTCCTCCGCCCCGGAACGTTTCCGCCATCGGTTTCGGGGTGTGACACATAATAAAACCTTCAGGTTGTTTCATGTAAACTTCCTCGTCAAGATCACCATTTAAAAAGGTTGTTTTCACATCCATTTGATGAATAACCAGATTGTGGATACTTGCCAAAACAATCAACAATCTAATAGTAGCAATACGTGCAACCGGAACATACGTATCAAAGTAGTCAATACCGGGTTTTTGTCTAAAACCTTGAATGACTAACCGGGCTTTGAACTTGTCAATAGTCCCATTAACATTCATTTTATTCTTGAAAATCCATTTGCAACCGAGTGGTTTAGAACCTGGAGGCAAATCAGACAACACCTATATGTTGTTCTCAAGAATTGATGACATTTTATCATCAATTGCTTCCTTCCAAAATGCACTATCACGAGACTCTATGGCCTCTTGATAAGTCTTAGGATCATCTTCAATACTATATCAATAAGAGTATTCAAGATTAATTTCATTTCTTGAACCTTCCACCAAATACAGTTGGAAGTTGGATCCAAATTTTTTTGCAATATTGCCCCTTTTGCTTTTACGAAGCTCTTGTGGTTCTTGCACATTACCACCATCTTGACTTTCTGAATTTTGCTCTTTAAGAGCACCAAAAGTCAGATCCTTAGGCCATTGAATCGATGAAAACCGCATCTCATCAAAAATTGCATCTCGTGATTCGATAACAGTGTTAACCGAAACCGAATCATTAGGTTCTATTACATTAAACCTATATGCCTTGTAATGTTCAGCAAATCCAATGAATATGCAATCAATTCCATGTTCTCCCAAATTCTTCTTTTTGGGCTCGGTGAGCTTTACAACTGCCTGACATCCCCAAACCCGAAAATAACTCAAATTCGGCTTTTTCTTGAACCAAAGTTCATATGGGACTGTTTTGTTCCTTTTATTTGGAACCCTATTTAATAAATAGCAGGCCATTAACATGGCCTCTCCCCAGAATCCTTCACTCAATCCCGAGTAAGACAACATCGAGTTTACCATTTCCTTTAAAACTCGATTTTTACGTTCAACAATACCATTCTGTTGGGGCGTGTAAGGTGCCGTGGTCTCATGAATGATACCCACTGATTGGAAGTATATGGGATCCATATATTCACCTCCCCTATCAGTCCTGAGACATTTAACCGGAATGCCCAATTGCAATTCCACCTCGGTTTTGTATATTTTGAATTTATCTAAGGCTTCATCCTTAGAATGCAACAAATACACATAGCAAAACCGAGTGCAGTCATCAATAAAAGTGACCACATATTTTTTATTTCCCAAAGAAGGAGTGGAGTGGAAATCACACAAGTCACTGTGTACAAGTTCCAAAACAGCTGAATTTCTAGTGACACTAGGAAATGGCTGTTTTATCACTTTTGTAAGCATGCATGTTTTACATTTATCAGATGTCATATCAAAGGCTGGAATTAATCCATCTTTTGAAATCTCATGCATCCTTCTAAAGTTGACATGACCTAATCTTACATGCCAAAGCATAGATTTATCAACATTAGAAGCAGAAGATACAAATGCAGAATTCTGAACAAGTAATAATTTGTCAACAATATTCAAACGAAACATTCTATTATTTAAATATCCAAAGCCAACAAACATTCCACCCTTAGACAAAACAAACTTATCCGACTCCATAACTTGTTTAAAACCATTAGAATTCAAACAACTAGAGCTAACAAGATTCTTGCGAATCTTGGGAACAAACAAAACATCAAATAACCTAATTGTCTTTCCAGAAGTAAATTCAAGACACACGACACCTAAACCAAAAATAGGAATAAAAGAATCGTCTCCCATTTTCAGCACCGACCCATCTTCAAGCGGAGTTAATGTTTCAAACATCCGTTTATCCTTGCATACATGGTTCGTTGCACCGGAGTCGATCCACCAAGCAACATCATCATCCTGCACATAGAATGATTCAGGGATAAATGAAACATAATAAACATAATTCTGATTAGAATTATCAAAGTTAGTCAAAAACTGACCTCCTTTAACTTGGGCCGAAGACCCGTTCACTTTCCCATTGGCTCCACTGTTTCTAGCACCATTGTTGCCCAAATTCACACGACAATCACGCTTGCAATGCCCAACTTGATTGCACCTCCAACAAACCAGATCCTTTCTCTTTTTGTTGGAGTTGCTTGGGACATATTCCTGCTTACGTTTGCCATGTCCTTTGTGGTTCTAGTTCCTTGGTTTGTTTTCAACCATATGAACCGAGGGCTGTCCAGGTTCAACTTTTCCTTTGGGTTTTTCAGATTTGTCACTTTCCTTCGCACAAAGAGATTCTTCAATACGAATGTGACTAGCAAGTTGAACCAATGACAGTTCCTCCTTTTGATGTTTCAAGTTATGTTTGAAGTCTTTCCACGACGGAGGCAGTTTGTCAATGATAGTGGACACATCAATGGATTCATCCATATTCATACGGTGTAGTTTAAATTGACCGTCTATGCCAAGGAGTTCATTGTACTGTTCAGTGACAGACCTTGAATCTTCCATCTTATAATTATTAAAGTCACTGACCAGAAACTTCTTCCTAGAAGAATCCTCAGTAATGTATTTCAGTTCAAGAGTGTCCCACAACTCCTTGGCACACAAGGCTTCACTGTGGATATCAAATAATGCATCAGACATATCGTTCAGAATGTGGCCTTTGCAGATGTATTCATCATTGTCCCACTTCTCTTTCTTGTCTCTTCAGCCGTCTCAATAACACCTTCTGCAGGCTCTGCTGGTCTTGGAGTAGTCAGCATGTATGCTGCTTTCAGAGTAGTCAGCATGAAGTGCATCTTCTTTTTCCAACGCCTGAAGTCGACACCTTCGAACTTCTCCAGTTTGGCATACTTGGTAGTCATCTCGCGGATTGAGTCACCCATCTCCAGGAACAGAAAATATCAATTCGACTATTGGGAAAATTAGGGTTTGTGGTGGAGATCTGGATACCGACTTGGATCGTGATATCACTTTCCGAACTGATATTTCTACCCTATGCCTGGGTTACAAGAAATTCAGCCTAGGATAATCCAAGTGGACACTTACGATTCTAGGCACATAAATCGTAAGACAAAGTGCTAGAGGATTCTGTGAAAGTATGATGAAAAACGAGAGCTTAAGATCGTAACCCTCTTCTGAAAAGAAGAGCCGTTTATATAATAAACGATATTAGGGTTTCATTAGGTTGGGGCGTCATTAGTTGCTTTGGAAGCAAGTAATGTTAATCCGGATTTAATGAGGATTTAGGGTTACCAAAACCCCGCTAGGGGCGTTGCCCCTAGACCCCGCCAAAGGGGCGCTGCCCCCGGACCTCTGACTAGTCGTCGAACCGACTTCTAATTCGATCAAATACATGCGTGCACTCCGCACAACCCCGTACATATAATAGAGTACAAATTATGAAGCCCCTTAGCTCACATGTTAGTTCCAGTTACTTAAAATGACATGGTGACACTAAAATCAACAACAACCTGGTCCTCCACAATAACTCGTCAATCTCATATCCTTTTCCTTTATGTGAAAAATTAGATTACCGGAACATAATTTTCATAATAGAGACAAGATATCAACCATGTTTATGCTTCTGATGTATACATGTTCATCAACTGGAAAATTCCAGCAACTCTTCTCTCTCTCTCTCTATATATATATACCACATAATTCTGTCATTTTTAATTTCAAAGCAACTCAATTAACTGCAAGCGAATACAGATGAAGGAAAAGCCAAGTGTCCCTCAGAGATCCTCCGAACACTTCATTGGGATGCCTTATTTATGATTTCCTACTGAAGTGTTTGGGGGAACTCCAAGGGCTACTTGACACCAACAAACAAGAGTGTCACACACTGCATGTAACGTTTTGTCATGTGATATTTTATGTGAAGTTGCAGTTGGTTAGCAATCTTTCTCAATGATTTATATTTCATCGTGTGGACTGTTATTAGCATTAACACCAAGTGTTTCTTAGTGACGTGATTGGGTTTAATGATATTTTTAAATGTATTATCAGACCAATAGAGAAATATGTAAAAGCTCACTTGTATATTGATACGTATCCCAGGCCATACTTGAGGCCACCTCCATGGCCAGGCCCAATAACCACCTTTTGTGACACTTTTGTGATGCTTCCTAGATCATCGCCAATACCGCTGCATGGAGTTTAACTCCCTCACTATCCCTATTATCATGTAGCATAGTTTTTCATTTAGGATCATGGTAAACAACTAGCACCACTAGTTTCTTATTTTTAGTATTTCCTCTACTATTTAAATGCTATGTATTTTCATTGTTTTGGGAATGAGAAGAATTTAGTAAAAAGTTATATATCTCGTCTCGTTATTTCCTTGGGAGGTTGACCACCTCGAATCGGTCTCTATCAATGGTACTTTCATTCCCGTTCATCATGCCTCCCCGTGAAGATCCGTCTACCGATGTCACACCGCCAAGTATCCGCGAGCAACTCTCCACACTCATCGCTATTTCTACCGCTAATGTCCGCCGCCTTGATGCAATTATCACACAAATGGCCACCATCAACACCCTCATCGACATTCAAACCGGAACCATGGCAAAACTCATCCCGCCTCCACCTCCGCTTCCACCACCGAATCAACAATCAAGGCCGCCAATAATGCTATCCCCACCGCTACCGCCTCCACCAAAGTCGATTCCATCAAGTTTGTCACCACAACAACAATTGTCATCCTTGCAACCACCGAAATCAAAAACTATCTTCGGGAAAATCCAACCTGTCACATTCAACATTCAACGTAGAGACCAACGATTTTCTGGTTTCATTCCTCTACAAACTAACTTTTCGGACCTCGAGGACGAGGTCAATTTTAAAGGTGAGGGAATTGATATGTATCCCAGGCCATACTTGAGGCCACCTCCATGGCCAGGCCCAATAACCACCTTTTGTGACACTTTTATGATGCTTCCTTGATCATCGCCAATACCACTGCATGGAGTTTAACTCCCCCACTATCCCTATTATCACATAGCATAGTTTTTCATTTAGGATCATGGTAAACAACTAGCACCACTAGTTCCTTATTTTTAGTACTTCCTCTACTATTTAAATGCTATGTATTTTCATTGTTTTGGGAATGAGAAGAATTTAGTAAAAAGTTATATATCTCGTCTCGTTATTTCCTTGGGAGGTTGACCACCTCGAATCGGTCTCTATCATATATGGTATTCTTCAAGTTAATCAAGTTAATTGATATCAGTTTACTATATTTTCCCACACCAGATATTAAATTTGTAGTTGAAAGTTTGTTGTTTTCATTTGTGTTTTGGTTGTGAAGGCCTAAACTATGCATATCTAGACTTTATTTACTCCCTTTTTTATTTATATTACCAAGGTAATTTGTAGTCGTTGAGAAGTATGGAAGAAAGTGTGAAACATATTGACGGTGGAAAACATGGCGAGAAGTTCTTCACCAACATGAATATAGGGGCGAAATTACTTTAAACGGACTCTATATTGGAATGAACATAAAAATATTTCCAAGAATGTTAGCATCAAATGGTAACTTTTATAAGCTACCCCATGTTTGAGGATATATTAGAACGCATTCCAAATATACAACAAACCAGACGATAGTGGCGGAGCCATAAATTTTGATATGTGGTACAAACATTGTCAAGATTCACAATAAAAAATGCAAAGAGTTTCTTAACATTTAAAGTTGTAAATCCAAAAAATAAGTATAATTTAAGCAAAAGTTACAATTGAATCCGTGTAGTCGTCATGTCTTGAAATCTATCAATGATATTGTCATCAACAACTTATAGAAACACGTCATTTTCAATAAAAGTGACTAAACAATCGTCTAAAACATGATCATCCATGCTATTCCACAACTTATTTTTTCTACACTTGTAGAAAAGATATATTATATGTAGTAATCCTATCATATGCATTAAAAACATGGTATAATCTCTTTAGTTGGGGGCACATTAATATTGAACATGTTTACAAGTAATTTTTTTTTTGTGTATATAAAACAAGTTTTTTGGGGATGGTGTAGTACCCCCACCACCCAATGTAGCTCCTCCACGGTACGTAATGAGCCCTTGGGCTAACATAAACTCTAATGGACTTAGCCCTTAGGCCTAAACCATAGATGCTAGCATTCTTGAAAATAGTGTTTAATGTCATTAACTATTTGATAATATTTCTAATAATAATAGGTAATATTTTTAATAATAATAGGGTCGTTGTGGGTTGGCCTCATAACAAAATTAACTATAAGAAAATGGAGAAAAATAAGTTATTAGTGGTCCATATGGTTTGTATTTTTACAGGAAAAAGGTCCAAACCACTAAAGATTTGGATTGATGGCCCTTTTGAACTAGTATCATTGCGTATTTGTTCCATTCGAAAATTTAAATTACTGTAATACCTTTGTGTACATATTTTCAATTTTTTTTATTGTTTTTTTTAAATATAACACTTTTTTTATCTATTTAAATAATTAAAACATAATAGAGGTCTCTCACACACACACACAAACAATGCCTAAAACCCAGTTTTGAGTACGAGGCATTTACCTTAACACGATGAAGTCTCTTGAACATCTGCTGTGATGTTCATTCCTCTCTCGTCTTCCTCTCAACTCTCTTTTTCTAGTTTTTTTAGATGCAATATTATTCTAGAGGAAGGAGGTGTGCCCTCTCTATATATAGTTGAGGGGATCCATGAATATATAGTTAAGTAATTGCACATCCATATGCATGATGGAGAAAAATAAGTTATTAGTGGTCCATATGGTTTGTATTTTTACAGGAAAAAGGTCCAAACCACTAAAGATTTGGATTGATGGCCCTTTTGAACTAGTATCATTGCGTATTTGTTCCATTCGAAAATTTAAATTACTGTAATACCTTTGTGTACATATTTTCAATTTTTTTTATTGTTTTTTTTAAATATAACACTTTTTTTATCTATTTAAATAATTAAAACATAATAGAGGTCTCTCACACACACACACGAACAATGCCTAAAACCCAGTTTTGAGTACGAGGCATTTACCTTAACACGATGAAGTCTCTTGAACATCTGCTGTGATGTTCATTCCTCTCTCGTCTTCCTCTCAACTCTCTTTTTCTAGTTTTTTTAGATGCAATATTATTCTAGAGGAAGGAGGTGTGCCCTCTCTATATATAGTTGAGGGGATCCATGAATATATAGTTAAGTAATTGCACATCCATATGCATGATGGTTTTTACCGGGTCTTCACAAACCCTAACATCATCATCGTCATTTTCGGAGTTATGATATCCATCTGAACCATTAAGGTCAGGACATCAGGTTTTATTTGAGTTTTAAATTTGATATTTATTCCAATTTCTCGAGGGCAATATCTTTGCATCCATGACTATTCTCAAGGGAACTTTCTTGATGCCTCGATGCCTTCATTAGAAACGAGTATATAAAAGATCTATACTCTTAAACGGTTGTTAGAATAAGACATTGCTTTGATTCATAAAAGTGTTGTTTTGAGTAATTTCAATCAATTCAGGACATTTGTGAGAGAATCATATATGGATTATTGGGCACATCAGTATTCCCTCGAAATTTCTTCATTTTTTGACGAAATTCAAAACCTAAGTTAGGGATCGAAATTAAAAACGGGAACTGGAATAGGGAAATTGAAGTTTAGGAAAATAGTCATGGGTTTGCAAGTGACATGGCTAAGCAGAACAGGGTGAGCCAAATTTCAGTGAGAGTGGTGGGTATGTTTGACATAGTTGTTTTCATACCTTATGCTATAATGATTTGGTGTTTCTATACTTATGATTTCTTTGGAGGTTGTTTATCTATATGTATATTGCGAAATACAGACCACTATGATGATGATGATGATGATGATGATGATGAGAGAGAGAGAGAGAGAGAGAGAGAGAGAGAGAGAGAGCATGGTAGACGAATTATAACCAGAGTTCCAACGGTGGCTGATAGAGGAGATAACTTTGCGGTTTCTTGTTAGGACTTTTAGAGAGAAAAGGAAAGTAACGCTGATTTGGGTTGAAAAAAGAGAAAGAAGCACATTAACATGTCCTTTGAAGCACATAAACAGAGATCCTACGATTATCATGTATTTAAACGCAGTTAACAATCCATAAATGAGAAGGTAATTCTATAAACAATGTGAGTTATAAGGAACAAAAGAGAAAACCTTGGTTTTGGTCTCGATTTTGACTTCAAGCACACTGACGATATGCTTACCGACACAAGGGTTGAAGAAATTATCGTGCTGATGTTGAAGATATAGCGGTGGTTTGTAAAGTAAAAGAAGTAGAGCATACGTACATCAGTGAGACATTTTGGGTTAAGTAAGAAAGAAGCAATCGCATGTTCAACCCCACAGTATAAACCGTATTTCTTTGATTTGATGCTATGAACAGTGAAACTAACATTTGTGTAGCTGAAATACAATAAATGAGTTAATACCAATATTTGTAACCAAATATTTTTAACATATTTGTAAAATACTGTTTAACATTAGGAAAATTGATCCAAATCGATCATTGTGTGATTAGCTATAATAGGTTTGTGGGTTTGGGTTACCTCATTATTCTTCATGTTTAAATTTTTTTTTTCTAATGAATTTGGTACAGATTGGTTTTTTTATTTTTTATTTTATTTTTTTTTCTAATTTGCACCAACTTGTTTTTGCAAATTTGATTTTACATTTTAATAAGTTGAATTTTTTATAAATTTGTTCAAAGAACTGTTTATTTTTTTTTTTTTACAAATTCATTTTATAATTATATTTCTAATTTTTCTATGTAGTTGTTTCTTTTTTTTTTTTTTGCATATTTTTATACTCTTCACAACAAATATATATTTTACACAACCTTTTAATTTCTTTCATAAAAACTCAATCTGCATTTTTCATATTCTTCTGTATGATCATGTGTTCTATCTCTCAAAGTATAACAATGGGTACATGTTTGCCCAAAATTACATTTTACACCATTATGCTTTAATAGGTATAATAAATTGTTTGTACTAGATAAATTGTATTTAAAACTGTTAATTTTAAGTGGATTACTATCATGCATAACCAAAAGTGATTTATTGAACATCAAGGATTTTATAAACAAACACTAGCAAGGCGGACAATGTTACACAAAAAGATAACAGAATATGGATAGTTAGAGCAAATGCATAAGCAAACCTACCCAATTTTGAGGATGTATTAGATAGCATTCCAAATAGACAACAAACAACAATACTCTTTAGCTACTAGGAATTTTTTGAGAATCTCTACAGAAAAAAACATTACATGAAAATATAAGCTACGTTTGAGTCACATTGATACATTAAGTTTCATATTTGGGACAAATTAAAAAAAAAAGAGGGACCAAATTTGTAACAAGTAGTTGCATTGCATAGTCAGATGATGTCTTTCAGATATATGGTGATAGGTCTATACACACCTGATCATTTTGGTCAAAAATTACACAAACATTGATCAACCAAATTGAATGAGAGGTTGTGATGTTCAAATTGTGCAATAAGATAAGATAGAGAGAATGACACGATTGTTTACAAGGAAAGCCCTTGATCCTTGCTAGGATCTCCCGCACAAAACATTGGGAGATGATAATGATCACCTGCCTTGATGATTTTATTATTATAAATTGATGATTACAAAGAGTATTTCAGTAAAACAAATGAAAAAGTTCTTAGAGTAAGCTCAAAGTTAACCGAGTGTGTTGTGTGTGAGATACATGTGTCAATTTATATTCTAAACTAGCTAACAAGATGTCTGATATTCCCGAGATCCTCTATGACCAGCTTTGTGAACGTTGTTTGACTTGGTATTCCGGGTCTTTAGCATAATTGAGACGAAACTCTGTTGAGAATAAGTCTTCTCTTGACTATTTTTGCACACGTGTTAATTAAGAACGAAATATAACCATTATAAA